TATATATATATATTTTCATGCTTTTAAAAACCAGATAGATATAGAGTACAAAGTTCTTGTCAGTTTTATTACACATTTTTACAAGCTATAGTTTTATTAATGTGTCACTGCCAACTTTCGAGTCGGTATTTCGATATTTACTGCAAATTTTTCGCGATAAAACGCACGTTGTGTCAGAATACACAATGTATTAAACATCACCGGGGGATATAATTTTCGGAGACTGTTCGCCACATTCGCCGTTTAAAACGCGACGTTACGAATATTGCTGGAAACGATATTTTAGAGTCACGCGTACGGTCGAATGGATATTAATCAGCGCGTCTGTAACTCGCGCGTGCGGTATCGATATAGAGTTCACCGATCGATGCGATAGTTATACATATATATCCGCTTAACAACATGTTTCCATAAAAATAAAAAATAAAAAAAAGATAAAATAAATGGAAAAAGGGCGAGAGAAACATTCGCGGCGGTGAAAAGCGACCAATGCGCTGTCGAACGTAAAACCTGTGGATTCCATGCAAAATCTCGATCGTCGATTTTGCGGGTGCGATTTCATGAATCAACCATCCGTGACCTCTGCCATTCGTTCATTCAGCCGTTTAAGCGCTCGAAATACATGTTATTTATTCGCTCGTATACGATTTTGCCGCGACTCATTTATCGCGGATACTCAGATTATTTGCACGAAGCAATTCTCCATGGCTTAATCTCGTTATCAGTTATTTTGTAACATCCATATTTTTCGTAAATATATTAATGGATCTTGATACAAAATATGAAAAATTTTGTGGATTGTAAAAAGCGATTCTTCGCATAGACGATCATTATACTGAGGAAATAATGAATTTTTTTCTCGGCGAAACAATCCTCGCCCATTATTAACTGTTGTTTTGTGCGATAAAAATCAACCGCAAAAACTTGAAAGCGTAATATTCGTGTAGCGAGCGTTTAAATATTTGACATCTTTTTACGAACATCACCACGCAGGAAGCTTTCCAACATAATACTTTTATACGTTAAATCCGACGTTCTTTTCGACGTATAAAAACCCAAGAGACACATTACATATATGTTATTAAAAATGGATTAATAAATTTGTATTAATACCGTTTACAATATATGATCTTCCGTTAAACGAGCAGCGAATTAATTATAAACTCAATCAAGAGAGCTCCCTTTATTACAATGAATAATAAACACGTTTGACCAGATTAGCGGAATCGATGTTCGCGTAAATAATTTCATAAAATCGGCCTTTGCAAAGTTCTATAGATTTATTTCGCTTAACGATTATATAGATCTTAAAGAAAAATCTAGATTTGTTGATATTCCGGCATTTCTAAATGAATGCAAAAGAAGTTACTGTTTCATGAATTAATCATTTCTCTCTCTCTCTCTCCCCTCGCCCGATGCTCGAATATAGTGGCTACTTTACAACGGCTATTACCGGGGTTACAACCATCCCTCGCCAACAATCCAGAGTTGGGTGGGACGAATTTGCTTCTCGTTGGGTGAATTTGAACTAGTCCCCGCGATAAGCCTATTTCGCACCCTTTACACAATTGCATTGTGCGAAAATCGCTTAACTCATTAAAGCTAGTCAAAGAAACCGCGAGTTAATACGAACGAAAATACGACGCATGTACGACATGCTGGATGAAAATAATGAAAATAAACATTTTTTTTTTCTATTAAAAATCTAGTCGGCAAGAAATTAAAATTATTGAAATAGATGTAAAAAGGCAGAAATATTGAGATAAACATTCACGTTTCTTCTTCATCAGAATTTCGTGGAATGGCATCGTATATATTGGTCTGGTGCAGTTACGACTTATCAATTTATTCCTCTCTGGAATCACGATATTGACAGTTTCCCGTTAACGAGGTTCGACGCAAGTTCCGCGAACTGCAACAGGATTCGCGCCGGAGAATCCATTCCCGCGAATTTCTTCTGGATCAGAGAATCATTTATAATCAAATAATATCACGTTCTTTCAGAATCGATTCGATGCAAAGTATACTCGAAGAAAGATCGAAAATAGTAGTATTAATATATCATTTTCTCGATTTCTTGTTGCCAAATGATGAGCTATATATAAAGGGTGAATCTGTGATTTTAATGTAAGAAAAAAAAATTCACAAATTTATCGGAAATATACCGGAGATTTTGAGAAAAGAATAATCGATTTTATTTCCGTAAATGCAAGTCTATCTCGCGTTTGAACTTTCGCATTTCAGCATATTGTGTCGGCGTGATAAATTTTGACCCAGTCTGTACCTTGATGCTCCATTGAGCAAATTAATGAGGACCGCGCGACATTATTGAGCCACGCAGGCGCACACGTGTAACATCGTCGACACATAATACCCGTTGTAATATCGTGATCTGTGAGCTTGCTCGGTGAACAATATTAACATTACGCAATACAATGCAGATTGCGCATTATTATATCGAAATATCTCGACGATGGGAAAACACGAAAATGCTTACGATTTTATTATATACAGAATTGAATACAGACGTTAATTTCGACAAATTTTTAGATAATTTGAAATTTTTCGTTCAGCAAGAATTCTTTTATTTATTTATTATCAGAAGTCGTCTTAATTAATTCATTTAAAGAGTTCTCTTAGCATTATTATCAGATACAATTTATATCTTAAAATTAGTTCGCTTCGAAACTCTCGGAAAATTCCCGAAGGACAATTCCCTGTAGTCATGTTCGAGAGCCTTGTCAAAAATTGCGACGTGTCCCTTAATAAATAAAGAGCCAGTAGCGAAGCGGAGTTAATTTCGCGAAGCGCCCTGATTAACGCGCAAAGGAGGCGACGGAGTCGAGGTCGTGTCGAGCCTGATTAAGAGAGGAGGGAAGCGCGTTAAACACGCCGGGGATTCTGACACGCGTGCGATACCGCTCACGCCTACGTCGCACCGTCCTGATCTCACCTACCTGTCTGCGCACGTGTTGCCCACGCGGGTCGAACCCGTATCTATCGCCTCCTACGAGAGCGCCGATCGCATCGGTGTTAATGAGCGAAGGCGCGATCGCGTGACTGACACGACCTTTGACGAACCCCGGGCAATAGACGACACCGCCCGGGGTGAATGAGCGATGAACGACTGTGTCGAATCCGTTCATCCTTTATTCACCCTAACGATCAAACAACTCGACGGCGATCGCAACGCGTGGATTTTCTTTTCCATAGGGAGTTCTCGCGTTATTCTATATTTCGAACGGTGAATAATAAAGTCACGTATCGGAGGATTCTTGAAATATTTAAGGATCTGAATTTTGTATTATCCTGAGTCCAGAAGAAAGAAAGCGCGAGTAAAATAAATTTTTTATCTAGAATTATGAGAAAAATATTACGAGAGAAGATATTTTATATATCTTAAGAAGAATGCCGTTTATTACAAGTTATATTATAAAAATTGAGAACGCAAGATAAAAATAACAAGGCAGATATACTAAGTAAAATTTATAATTTCGAAATTCTCGCACAATTTTTGAATTCTCCATTGTAAGCTGTTAATTTCATATTTTAGATATCATCACAGTATGTATAATATAAAAAATGCAGTTTTATATGAAATATTTAATTATTGTTGATGAGGTCAACGATCGTTCCGTAAAAATTCATCGAAAATGATGTATCGACGAACACATGCGAATTCTAAAAAATAATAAACGATGAAACATACATCTCTGCGAATAACCATTTTCTCGGCGAAATACGCGCGAACGGAATTACGATGGATTATGAACTTGGCGAAGTCATCTCAGAATTCAGGAATGGATGTCGATCAATGTCATTAGTTCGACGCCGTGCGCTCGTGATCGACCTAGTGGAGTTTCGGTTTTCGAGCTCTCGTTTGCGTGCACGCATGCGGAATCGAAGATGACCTTGCAACGAACTCTCGACGTAACAAATCAATTCCCATCTTCGCGATTCGCTCTCTTCATTCTCTCAAAGATCATCTTGCTCTCTTTCTCTCTCTCTCTCTCTCCTGCAGTTTCCTTTTTATCTTCTTTGATATTCCTTTTTTTTCTCGGTCGCTCATTTTCGTCCAGTTGCATCGTCTCTCCCTCCTTCGCTTCTTTTTATCCCTCTCACTGTCTCTTTGTGCACCTCTCTTCGCTCTCGTCATCCGCAAAATTCTCGCTCTTCGCGTTCCGTCTTCCTCCTGGCGTCCTCTGTCTCCTTCTCACTTCCGCGCCGCTATTCTCCACTCGCCCTCTCCCCGCTTCCTCATCCTGCCACTTCCGCCGTCCGCGATACGCCGAGTAGGATGAGTGAGGGCGACGAGATGAGGAGGTTGATTGGTTTCCATGGAAACCAACCAGCTTTGCACTGGCATCTGGCATCTCTCCCGGTTGAACCGCCGCCGCCGTCGTCGTCATCTATCGCGCCGCGTTGCACGTCGCTCGTTTTGCGAACCGATGCGGTACGACATGCCGACGTAACACCGACGAGAAACCGAAGCGGAGAATCCGGCTCTTCTGAATTTCATGGGACGGCCCCGTCGCCGGAGGGTGAACGGAGCC